TTGGTGAAGAGGGATAGTTGGAAGTTAATCATTTTACTTTAGAGAAAGAGAACATGAAATGTATTGTTTTACTTACTTTACTTTGTTGTTAGATTATGCATTTGAAAATTATATATATACGATGCCAGAAGTTCAACAGCTATGGTGTGTGTGTACACACTATGACCATGACCGAGCTGGATAAGGGAATCAATTTGCCTCAACAGTAACTAAACATCTAACTGACAGTTTATGTCCTTGAATTGATGTCATGGATTCAAAGAGCCACGTGACATATTTCATGTCATTAACATCAAGTGCATCACATTTCAGAGATTGCTGGCTGCTCCCTCTGTCAACCCCCACAGGGACTTGCTGTCTTGAGGTCATGGAGCCTGCGTCAATGTGGGCGAGTGAGTTTTTTTGTAGCGCAGATAAAGTAGCAGAAGCTTTCTCTTCATCATCCTCTAAGGACAGAATCAAGGCCAGATGCTTTGAGATGTTAAGAAGCCGACCTGTGTGCTGTCAGACTATCTGACACCAGGCTCATTCCTTAATTCAACTATTTACTCCCCAGTTTCATTCTTCCCTCCTTTCTTTTCCCACTGTTTGAGTCTCATTTAGGCTGTGGGGCATGGCCTCCACTGCCATGACAACAGCTCCAAACAGACCCGCAGCTAAATTCTTCAAGTCCAACGAGGTGGTTATAAAAGAAGAAAGAACAAAATACGCAACGGTAAAGCCAATCTGTTGCCAATTAGTCATTCACAAACTCAGTTTCTGGAACAGGCTTAATCTCAGAAAGAAGTGAAAGACTTGCATCAGCTTGTACAGTCATACTCCTTTGTCGGACTACACAGTCAACCCTTTGCCAAAGAGGACAAGGTTTCTCTGATGTGAACAAAACAAGTTTTGGCACCAGGGCAGCTTTGCTGATGAAGAATGAGTGCATTTGCAGGCATTCAGCACTTTCAAACACGTACACACGCACCCACACACACACACGGACACAAAGGAGAGCCATGTGGGGGTAGGTGACAGCGAGCGCCTACTCAGACAGACAGTCATTGTGTTGGAATGGAGGCACAATATAACCTGAGGTCGTCTGGTAAGACATTAAAAGACCTCAGTCTCATTTTACAGTGGAGTAGGCTGACTTCATTACAAAGCCATTTTCTTGGCCGTTTGAAGTTTTATGATGGAGTTTCTGCGAGTAGAAGCCTGGCAATAATGGGAGTGTAGATTAGTCTTGGATTTATTGTCACTCTTTGGTATTGTTTGCGTTCGACTATGTTTCTGCTGTGTCTATACTTGTGGTTTTTCCTTTGTCAGTCATGGAGTGAGAGTAGACATTGGTGACTCACATCACTATCTGATGTTTTCACTGTTCTCAGATCAACTTTCTCTTTCTTTTCTTTTCTTTTTTTTTTCCTACTCCAAAACAGGTATCTACATGAAGTATTAAAATCCACCATGGACTCAAGCAATACATACTATTAACTGACTCCTATTATAACTTATCCCCACAGAGAGTTAGTTTCATTCCATTTTTTTCGTATGCCCTCTGATCAGGCTGAATTACGATATTTATGTAACTTTATGTAGTTACACAGAAAGCACCAAATGTGGTGCATTGCTTTTTTAATCACCTGAGTTGCTGTGTTACCGTTTCATCTTGGCCTTCTAATCTTAAAACCTTACTTAAACTGTTTAAAATAAAGGCTTTGAACAACTGCACTGTCATTTTAAACAGGCACGATTTCTGGAATACCAAAAGAATCACATAGGAATGCCACAAATATTCTACTTCAGTATACACATGGTAGTTCAACATACACAAGACCCTATGTTTGGTACATTGTTCCATAGCGATACAGGGTCTTACTTTATCCATTGCAGGCACAGATGACACGGTGAAAAGACAGGCCAGATGAGGATTTCCCATGATGCACCATTCTTTGTGGAGCTGATAAGCCTTCGTAAAAAATCAGGGCTTGTTTCTGCTTCAACTCTTTTTCACTTTCCACCTGTTGCTCTGAGCTGCGGATTGGCTTTATATTCAACTAGTCACACTGTAGTGATTGTTGAGGCCAGGTGAAAATCTCACGCTGCACAGGCCAGTGAGCGTGAGGGTAGGAAAGGGAATGAGTGACGGATGAGCAGTGGAGCAAGAAAAAAAAAAACACAGAGGAGGAAATGGGTTCAAATGAGCAGGAACTGGAAAGAAGCAGGCAGGACAGATTCTAAAAACATGGCACCTCAACAGGAAAAAGTTTCAGCTCCAAACTGGATCACAGTACAATAAAGTGAAATTCTATCTGAGCCGTTACTGAATATTGAACTGCACTAATTGAATCATAGCTCACTCAACACAAATCACAGCCCAATTTCTTGTTGCTGATTAGTTTTACTCTGAACAAATTTCCCTGATCACTGCTTATACTCAAATACCCTAATCTCATTTCCAACAGGCTGGAAATTTGATCAGAATCTGAACCACCTCCTGCTGCTCAAGCCAAAGTAAAGGTTCGGTAGCAGTTGAAAAAGAGCAAAACGAGGAAGTATTTATGTCTAATACAACAGAGAGCCAGTGTGAATGGTCAGATGATTTCCTTTAGCTATAAAAAGAAGAAGAAACAAAACAAAACTGAGGACGATTGAATTGACCCTGTCACTACTTTTTCAAACACTTGTGTATATTTAAGATGAAACGTAGTAGAGTGTGCATTCCTGAGCCTATTCTTATACCCCCGACCTTTAATCCCACCTTTTGTATTCTACTATCTGAACCCCCTTTTTTCGCTTGCCTTTTCCATCTTCAAACTAAGCTGAAAAGAACCTTGGAGGTTTCATGCGATTGCTTAAAGAAAATCTCCCGGTGTGGAATAATGGGCTTCCTCTCCTGGGTAACACTGGAATTATTAACAGACTTATCATGATAGGATTGTTCCCCTATCACGGACTCAACCCTAGGTCCTGTTAAAAGGAATACCTGGGAACTTTTGTCTGCTGCCAGCTCTGCTGTTGCTCATTCTTAGCCAACAGCAGTGCAGGTTAACTCTCACAGAGAACATTTTTAACAACATTTTTAAGTTTAAAAGGAATACCTGGGAACTTTTGTCCGCTGCCAGCTCTGCTGTTGCTCATTCTGCTTCTCTCATTATGCTAACAGCAGCGCAGGTTAACTCTCACAGAGAACTTAGGTTACTGTTAAGCCCCTGTGAGAGAAAATGAACTTGCCTGTTTTTCAACAAGAATTAATAAGAAAAAGTTGTCAAAATAATGTGTAATTTAACCCTGTTTGACCCTGGCTATCTGCCACTCAACATGAGTTTATTTTTAACCATCAAATCAAATCCTGCGCCAACAGAAACACCTCATGAAAGACTATCAGAATGATTCCAGGCACTTAAGATGTTTCTATTTTTAGTGGCCTCGACTGTTTCCTCTCTGCCTGCTCTGTGCTGCTTGCAAGAGAGGTAGTTGTACATAACCAGGATGGAGGTGGGGGTAATGAAGCCGGATGGTGAAATTGTTAAGGTGTGTTTACTTTGTCAGAGGAATGCAGTCGGGGAGGATGTGGAGAGGAGGAGGGATTCAATAATCTTGGAGAAACAACCCCTGAACAAGATCACAGGGCAAAATTAGTTTCTGTGATTTGTTGCCTTAGCACCCAGAATAAAGCCAGATCCTTGGGGGTCAGAGGGGTAGGAGTAAAGAAGTGGAGGAGTTACCCTCAACTCATCAGGGGGTCACAGGGGTTAGAGCTTAGGAGGTCAGGGCGGAGGTTCTCAGGGGGCCGTTAATTCTATTATCCTAGTATGAGAGGTGCTTGTTGGTGCTGGGAGATGTGCATGATTAAAGAAGAAGGTGAAAGGAGAATTTCAGGCGTGAATATTTTTGGCATGGGAAGTGATCACATACCACAAATATCTTTGTCTGCTTGACTCATGGGTACTCAGGGTTCTCTGCCCTCCTTAACTTCCCCTTATATACTTCATGCTTGCTTTCCGACATTTTTGAAGGAAGCGTCTCCAACACTTTTTGTAAAGTGTTTACAGAAAAAAAGACCCTTCTTTTTCCTACAGGGGGTGCAGTTGTATTTACCTGATCCCTTTTAATTTGTTCAAAACCTTTTCCACAAGAACTTGCGATGCATTTAGTTGTGGAGACAAACCTGAATTTGCCCTTTATTCTAAAATGTGTTGTGGTATCAACACACTACATACCTGATGTGTGTTTCCAGAGTGTAATGGCTGTGACAGTGCTGGCAGACAGCATACAGACATAGCTGGCATGGATTATTCCACCTGCCCAGACAGATTTGTGCGTGGCACGCCAGGCTTAGGCTGTGTGTCCCCTCACTGACCCACCAGGCAACTAACACTGATAATACTATCAGCAAATGGACGCTTTAATCTGCTGCCACATGGTGTGCTCTAGTTGTGCAGTGAATCTACGTCTTTTTATTTAAAACAGTCTAACAACACAGATTATGTCACCAGACCATAATATGAGTAGATTTCTAATGCTTTCATAAGTAGAAGACAGACAGAGTGAACGAGGTTCACATGAGGAGAGCACAGCACAAAACTCATGCAGCAGCTGCAGATTGAGACGGTCGTGACTCATTCTCTCTCCTTTAGCCTTCTGTCCTCGGTTTCCATTAAATCGACTCTTTTTCCTTCTCCTCCTGCCTCGTTAATGACATTGGCTGTGAGCAGTGGTGTCACCAGAGATGGAGGGAGGAGTCTTTACTGGAGATAGAAATATTTTCCCCTGGAGAAATATCACTTATAAACAGCTGTTAAGTTGCTGCTGCTAATGAGTTTTCTAATGGATGATTAAGTCATTTATTGTTGTGTAAAGGTTGGTTAAATATTGTTACACTGCCGATACGGTGAATCTATAAAGTTTTGATGGTATTAGGTGTATTATATTACTGCCGATACGGTGAATCTATAAAGTTGTGATGGTATTAGGTGTATTAAATTTTAAATATTTTCTCTGTCTCTCCTCAGACTGTGTAGTTTGTCTGACACCATTGAGCTGTCATGGCTCTGGTCCAGGCACTACCTTTGACCGTGACTGACCACCCCAGCCCTGGTGTTGAAGTCCAGCAGTGCCGGCCACGGCTCACCCACTCCCCTTCAGGCCCCTCCTCTGCCCCCTGTGTGCCCTGCACCTCTGGCACAGCCATGGGTTCCGTCAGCAGTCTAATATCAGGCCGGACCTACCACGAGAAGCACTGCAGAGCTGCCAGTGAATTCATCACCAAACCCCGGCGCTCCACGCCAGCTACCAGCTGCTTCCGCCTTCAGGATAACACCCTGCGCAGTGGGAGCTCTTTGGAGCAGCTGCTGATTATCAGCAACCCAACACAACCTCAGGCTCAGGTTCTGCCTCCACCGCTGCCCACCAAAAAACAGCCTCAGTCCACTAAAGTTGTCGGAGCAGTAGGGGGCAGCACCAAAGGGAACTTTGGGTATGTGAACGACAAGGCGGTTGTCGGGGATTGGAACGACAACTCAGTTGTTGCAGCAACTATAAGTCCATGCAGTGACTCTGAGGACCAAAGGGACAATAAGACTCTGAACGGCAACATTGGAGGACCCCCACCCAAACTCATCCCTGTGTCTGGACAGTTGGAGAAGGTGAGAGAAATGTTTTAAAGAGTTACTCTGGACAGTTGGAGAAGGTGAGAGAAAATGTTTGAAGAGTTACTTCTGAGTTGTTCTGACCTGGTTATTTTCCATCACAGATCTGCTCTTACATTTCCTTAAAGCCTATTTTTCTGCTTATAAGTAATCAACTTTTTCGACAAAAAATCTTCCACAAATACACAGCACACTGATTAAATACTCGTGCCAACACGGGGTTTTTGTGCCGACACATTTTCGAGCAGATTACCTTAGCTCTCTAATTGCCTTTTTATTTCTATTGATCCGTAGGGAAGCTTTTCCCTGACAAGCACAGATGGATCATTTGTCAGTTACTTACCTCGCAGACACATCATGATCAATTTTAGAGCTAACTTCCATTCACAAATGCAGCGACATTGACTCCTCAGAGGTATTGTGCTGCTCTGTGCAGTTCTTACCCTGTTAGATTTTATCCTTATGGAGAGGTAATTTGCTGTAATACTTACTTATTTTGGTGTTCTGTGAACACTGTATCTGCCCTTTGTTAACTGCAAGAGTGTGTTTGTAACACTCTGGTGCCCCGTTTTC